GAGGCTGCCCCGGGCCCCCCGGGTGGCACCTCCAGCAGCTCGGGCAGAAGTCCGCTTGCGCTTCATCCGTCTGCTCCGCCCGGCTTCCAGTTCTGCCTGCGGGCTCTGGTTACCGAACACCGGTGCATAAAGCATTTCGCCGTTTGGGCACGCGTCAGTGTGTTTTGTGGTGGCGGGGTCGGTGGGAAATGTTAGTGCTCGTGTACCAAAGAGAAACTTTCCCAGCAGAGTACAAGAAGAGGACACAATGCGTCTCATCCATTTTTCAGCAGCTGAGTCAGTGCGTTACACTGCTGTTGACAAAGGTTATCGAGTACTTTTCTGTCAGCTGAGCTGTGGAGATGGTGATCTCGCACTGCAAGCACCTCTGACCACCGCTGCTTCATCCCAAAGAGGGGGCCTGTTTATGCTTGTTCAGGAATAAACAACGACTAGGTGGATTAAACACTGAGACTTGAAACGGAGTCGATGAGGCAGTTTTAAAAACTGCATCGATACTTAAGGTGAAGAGGAAGAACTTGAGTATCTGCAGTACTGGCTCTAAAAGCTTGCTGCTACCGCTAGTGCTCTGGCTTGCCCGCTGGGATCTGTGTATCCCTGCAGGTGCTGTGGTTGGAGGATGCTTTTGGAGCCCTCCAAGAAGCTGTTGTCTCCCTCGCTGAGATAGCGTAGCCTCCAGCAATGGGAGATGGTTAACTCTAAACTGTTCTAACATGAGCGCTGATAGTTGTCTGGCCGCACCGACTGACTGCTTCCTCTTCATCTGAGCTTGCTGCGAATTTTGTTCCAGTTTTAGAATTCATTAACGTGTTTTCTTTGCTGCATGCACTCGCTAGAACTGTACGGTATTCTTAGCTAGGGCAATTAAGATTAAGTTTCATTTAGCCTATTCATTCCTCTGACTGTATTTTTTTTTTTTTATTGTAGGTGACTCAGCCCTTGTATGTATGAGATTTGTCCACACACTGGCTCTTCAGACAGGTTAGCTATATTTTTCTGCCATCAGTTCCATCGTATCTGAAAGAGTTGCTACTTTTACCTTTTATTAAAGTAAAACTGACTTTTGTACAACACTGTGTTATCTCCTGTAGAATATTGATTTTCTTGAACCTGTGGAGAAACAGCTTTTTTGGCATGATTTAAATATCCTCTATGGTATAAGTCAGGCCCTCATAAACTTAGTGCCCATGTAGCATCTCTTGGTATGTAGTGTGACAGTAAGGGCCACGTACTGCTAGTTTTGTAAGCTGCTTTTTCTTGTTGGCTAATTACAAACACAACTTTACAAAGTTTAAAGAAGATGTACTATGTAAATGTTGAAGTGCATAATTGACTTGGAAATTTATCGGTACTGGCTTAACTCTCCTGACTTCTAAGGAGCGTATTGTTAAGATGGCTTGGTGAAATAAAAATGTCGTTTATTGTTGGTGTAGTCACCTGTGAGGAAAAAAAAACTGGCTTCTGGCAGCATGGAGCGTTCCAGTGTGAGCGCCTAGGTCAGCTAGGAAAAACTGATGTGCTCTAAAGTACTCGGCTTTTAAAGTGCTTCAGAAAATGGGTAAGAGAGATCTTCTTGTTAACTTTGGTTTTGGTCAAAGCTGACTGTCCGTGCCACAAGGAGGAGAAAGCAGTGAAAGGGATCTGAGCAATTCTGCAGACGCTGTCTCCAGTGGAGCCGCTGGACAGCAGCTGCCGCCTTCCCGAATACCTTCCAGGAGCAGTGGTGCTGTTCTAGGTGCTCCGCTTGGTGTCTTCCAGTAGTGCTCTCTAGACTTGCAGCTCATTATGCTCTCGCCCCTTTCTCCTCTAGGGAGGGCTTGATGGCTCGGGCAGGCACTAATTCATCCCTAACCTGAAGAGAGAGGGATGAAAGGTCCGAGCTGCCCGGTCAGGCAGCATGCAATGCCTGGCAAGGGAGTGTGGGGGCTGCCTAGCGGGGAGGGAAGTTGCATCACGATGGCTGAGTACGATTGAGAAACTTTGTGATTCAGTCCTCTTCTGCTAGTGTGCCATGTAACAGGCATGGTGCATCAGACAAGCTGTTTTGCTGTGGTCCTAATAAATTATTTTTAAAAAGAAATTTAAAAAAAATCTGTATTGACGTGGAGCCCTCAGATTAATTTTTCGCATTTGCCTCGAGGAGGTAGTATCCTCACTGTCTTCTGTGTGGAGTATAAAACAGTCAACAGGGGACAGATTTTCAGTGGTATGGAGACAAATTCCATTTATTCTGCGGGAATAAAATCCCTTTTTACTGTTAAAGCCAGGTCCAAGTGGGTTGCCCAAGTCATGGAGGAAATCTGTACTAGAAGTGGGAGCTGACATGGAAAGACCAGGTTTTCATCAAGCCTCTTAACCATTGCACCCTTGTTCCTTTTTCTGGCAACCTTCGGATGCTGTTTGCTTTATTTCTGCAAAATACCAACAGTGGATTACTTTGACTTAGCTTGTCCAAGGTCTGTTGTAGGAATTACTGCTTTTGGTGTGAAAAATGTCTAAGTTGAGTGGTACGCTTAAGCATCTTTAACAGCAGGCCAGGGAGACCTGTTTTAACGCTTTCCTTATTAAGTGTCTGTCTGGTATGCACCTGATGGTAGCTGGCATGGAGGGAAGAGGTTTCATTCCTTTAATACCTTGTGAAACAAAGTCCTTAGTTAATTCTTCTAAAACTCTGAGTTTTGGAAATGAGCAAAAAAGGGCTTCCTTAGATTTCATTTTCTCAGCGTAATGTAAAAATGTATGCTTCTGCAGTGTACATTTAGACTCATCTTTTGAATGGCTTAAAAGATTTGCATTGGAGAACTGAGCGTGTATGTAAGTGTATGCTTTTTTGGGCAGGGATAAAGGGGGGTAGATTTAGACTAGATGTAAGGAAGAAATCTTTTATGCTGAGGGTGGTGAAACACTGGCCCAGGTTGCCCAGAGAGGTGGTGGATGCCCCATCCCTGGAAACATTCAAGGTCAGGTTGGACGGGGCTCTGAGCAACCTGATCTAGTTGAAGATGTCCCTGCCCACAGCAGGGGGGTTGGACTAGATGACCTCTAGAGGTCCCTTCCAACCCCAGCTGTTCTATGATTCTGTGATTACCGGTCTCCACAGCATGGCATCTAGCATGGACAAGCCTGCTTTGGGTCTGTAGGCGTGGTATTGCGCAAATTAGTAGGTTTTGTGTTCTTTCAGTGGTGAAAAAAACCCAACATCCTGACTAGTGCTTGGATCTGGGTATGTTTAGCATGGGAGAGTTCGTACAAAACAAATCCTAGTTCAAAAACCCTAATTTCCCAATTAGACATTTAAAAAAATATTTTAAATAACAGTAATGCTAAAGTGTTTCCCTTTCACTGTTACACAATGAGCTAAAAATATTTTTCATTCATAAAAAAAAGCTACTTTGTTAAATAATCTGCTTAGCAGAGAACAAAAGTTCAGTTTGTAGTAAACTGTAGTTGTATTATAGCTTCAAGTCGTCTGACATCTTTATTCCTGATTGAAATAAGACTGTAAACTTTAATCTTTGGTAGCTGAAAGGCAGACTTAAATAAAAAAGGATGGGTGATTCACAGTTACTCTTCAGGAGTTATGGATGTGGTCTACACAAAAATCTGAAGTGCTGTATGTTGCTGCTCCTTTTCTGAAATATGCAACTTCAGCACGGCCTGCCTGGAGCGCTGTGCATGGGTTGGGATTGGGAAGGGGTCTCTGTGGCTGGGGGGGGTGGGGGCTTGCTCTGAAGTGGTGCAGTGTCAATCGTGGTGTTCGTAATCCTGTCAGACCTACCAGAATTAGCTGCATTTTGCATTCATTCTGCATTTTCACTTTTTCATTGTGTATTTTTCCTTTGAAATAATTTAGCCCTTTTTTGTAGTGCTGGTTTATTAGAATTGTGGCATTGCATTGTTCATCTTAAAGCAGCTCTTTGGAAGAGGACCAGGTACTGGAAATGGTAGCAAGTCCATTACTACTTTAGTTGGATTGAGACTTTAAGTGGTATTTAAGACCAAAAGACCATCCTTCAAAATCAAAATGCCTAACTCTTTCTTTTTTAACCTTTATTGAAGTTATGTGATGGTGACATTTTCAGTTTAGAAGGTACATACAGTAACAAAAATGGCAACTCCTTTAGATTTTATTCTAGCTAGATGATGTCAGAATGAAAGGTGATAAATGGCAATGGGTATGAACTCAGAGCTCGTGATCCTTATAAAGGGTAGGAGACAGAACAGCAAAATGAGAAGGCTTTTGAGAAATAGAAAAAGTAGTAAGACCAACTTATATTATGAGCTTTTACTGACTTCGGATGCAAGAAAAAAAATAGATGTTGAGCATGAAAGTAAGTCACATTATGAAGAACATGTATAAAAGATTAGTAGAGGCAGATATTGGAAAGGCCAAAGTGCAAATGGAATTGCAACTAGCAAGAGGCATAAAAGCTAGCAAGGTTCCTGTAGAAGTACGTTAATAGCAGGAGGAAGATTGGAAAATGTCTCTCTTGATTCAGTACGTATTTAGAGAAGGTGCAGAACATTTGAAGTGCTCGGTGCCTGTTTTGCTTGTCTAACATAGTGTCATGCAGGTGCTTAATCTTATGAATACTTGTGATGAGTTAGTATTTTACACTAGGGTGTACTTCCATTAGATGTTCCTGTGTCAGCTGGCCCTGATAAGCTTCACTGTACGATTTTCAAAACAGCTCAAAAAATGCAAAAATATTATCTAGAAATACTCAGAAGTACTAGAAGACTGGCAAAGGACGAGTCTTCCAAGAGGTATAATGGAAGAGAGCTGAGGAAGAGGAGTTCAAGTCTGACAGTTCACTTTATCTCATTTTTTTTCCATCAGTTGAGATTAATAAGCAAACATTCTATTTTCAAGTGCTTGGAAGATAACTACAAGAAGAATAACAGCATGAACTGATTTGTGGGAAACCTAATTGTGTCCAAAGTCTAATACCTTTTTACTGCAGAGCAGAAGGCTTTGTGGCTATGGCAGAAGCAGTGGAGGTCTTGTCTCCTGATTGATCAATTTATTTATTTAATAAGGTTTTCCACATTCTAGTGGCCTGATAAGTAAATGGAGACATGATCCAGGGAAAGTAGTCTAGGAAACGTGCAAAATTGGGTAGATGATCCTATTCAGAGAACAGTAATTACCAATTCAGTGTTGAAATGAGAGGTTATGTTGAAGGGTTCTGTCTTGGGTACGGTTGCCTTTAATGGAAGCATCAGTCAACTGGCTGATTAAATGTGCTTATTAAATTCTCAGGGACTATGTGTTGGGGGACATGATGAGAGTTCAAAATGACCTGGAAAATAGGATGAAATTCAATAGGGACAAATGCAGAGTACTGCACTTAGGCAGGAATTATCAGCTGTGCAAATGCAGGGTGAGGAATAACTGGTTAGGTACTAGAAAAAGGACCTGGGGGTGTACTGGATCACAAGTTGAACATGAGTCAGTGTCATGCTGTTTGCAGAAAAGGCAAATATCTTACTGGGATGTTTAAACGGGAGTATTGCCTGTGAGATGTAAAGTTTAAATCCGTTGGCTTTATTTGCTGTTGGTGTACTCTCAGTGTGCAGACAGCATCTGTTTTGGGTGCCAAAATTCAAGAAGAATTTGGACCACTTGGAAAGAGTTCAGAGGAGAGAAATGCATATGACCAGAGTTCGAGGAAACAACTTCATAAAGATGGAAGAAAATCCGAGTTACTTTGGCAAGAGATGAGGAGGTTAAGGAGAATGTAAGAGATTTCAAGTATTTAAAAGATTTGTAAGAAGGAAATGTTGTTTTCAATGACCATGGTGGGCAGGTTGAAATTGTATTAAGTTTCATGAAGGAAAACACCGATTAAGCTTTTAACTTTCTCACAGTAAAAATGGTACTTTAAGAAGTCTTTTATTGTGGCCATTAAGAACAAGTTCATGTGTTGAGAAAGACTAATATAGTTGGTTTAGGTTGGGGAATAGACTAAACTCGCTAT